CCTCCTCTTCTAGTTTGCCTAGCCGCTTTGAATTCGGCTCGCAGTTACGTTAGGGGCGCTTTCTAGCACGTTAGGTAGATAGAGTACTTTAAGGCACGTTAAAGATAGCGGCAGCACGTCTTTGGCTTTTAACACGTTGTGATTAGATGTTAAAAAGAGCAAGCTGTAGATCTGCTTCAGTATAGGAGATTTGAGTAGTGCGTTGTTGAGGCATTACGCGTTGTAGTGTTAACGTTGACGCGTTGGTGGGGAGCGATCAGCTCGCTTGGGTGATCAGCTCGCTTATGAAACACGTTAGTTGATCGGAAAAGTGATACAATGAGAGCGACTGAGCACTGAGCGGGGTCCGAAAGACATCATTGGGCGCATGTTGCGCAATATAGGTTATTATTCACAAAAATCACAATATTTCCATCGATCAGGACTCACATTGATTCCACCAATTACATGTGGCCGTCTTCAGTAGTATAGTGGTCAGTATTTCCGCTTGTCATGTGACAACTCGCGGGAGACCGGGGTTCAATTCCCCGCTGGAGAGCTTTCCTTTTTTTGCCTTTTTCGGTGGTGGATGCGCTAAGAACGCGCCCACGTGTGGAGGTTTACTCGGGTTCTAGACGAGTAGTTTTTTTTGGAAAAAAATATAGTTAAGTGTGGTTATATTTCATAACTACTACTTTGTAACCCAAACACGGGGTCCTTTAAGTGGTTCCTCAATAGTTTCGCAATAAGACTCGTGAAGTCCGGTCAGCGGTCTGCACTTTGTTACCCGCTGCTAAAAGGAGATAAAAATTGTGCGTTTTCGGTCAGCGCTGATACACTGTAAGATTGGCCCCATTCGCATGCGGTGCGTGATTTGTCTTCGAAGTCCACGAAGTAAGTGTGATTTCAGGCCCTCTACACTAGCACAGGCGCAGCTCCTGATGGGATTGCGCTTGTCCGGTTTGGGATAACATTGTGGTTCGCTATAAGGGCTGAGCCAACGAAAGTGCAATCTTACTAGTGGAGTTAAGTAATGTCGAGGACCAACCATGTTCAGCTGCCGATTATAGTAACAGACACCACAGTCTATCAAGGGCCAAAGGTTGTGGAACGTATATAAAATACAGTCAGCCGAGCTGTTTAAACAGAAAGCTGTATGCTCGTTGAGAGTATAATATCCACTTCTATCTTCTTCGTTGCTCTATATCTTCTCCCCTAAAGTCTAATCTGCCTCTTAATCATACCCAAGTTACGACCGGCATATTCCACAACTCGACCACAATGTGTTCTAGATCATTTTCACCCGCAACGGAAATTCCTCACCTCCAAGGCAAAGTGATCATCGTGACCGGAGGCAACAACGGTCTAGGCAAACAAGCCATCCTCGAATATGCACGCCACGGTCCTGCCGAAATATGGATGGCGTCCCGAAACCCCGACAAAGCAAATGAAGCGATCCGAGAAATCCACGCCCAAGTGGGCGGAAGCATTCTACCCGTCATCAAGCCCCTTCAACTAGACCTCAACTCCCTAGACTCTGTCCAACAAGCAGCACGTCGATTCTTATCTGAGGCGCGACGTCTCGACATCCTGATGCTCAACGCTGGGATAATGGCATGCCCACCTGCTGTCACAAAAGACGGCTACGAAGTCCAATTCGGTACAAACCATCTCGGCCACGCTCTATTCGCAAAGCTGCTCCTTCCAATTCTGAAAAGTACCGCAGCCAGTGACCCTTTTGCCGACGTCCGCGTCGTCGTTGTATCTTCTGGCGCTCATTCAGGTGCTCCTAAGGCAGGCGTCGTCTTTGAATCCCTCAAGACGCCTGCGGAGCAGATGGGCGGCATGGAGCGCTATGGCCAGAGTAAAACTGCCAGCATTCTCTGGACGCGCCACATGGCGCAAATGCACCGGGACATCAAGTGGGCGTCTATACACCCGGGTGTCGTGAACACGGGCTTGCAAGCAGGCGCCGATGGTGCGTCGCTGCCTGTTCGCGTGCTGTTGAAGGTCGGTAAGCCGCTTATGATGACGGTGGAGAAAGGCGCATGGAATCAGCTGTGGGCGTCAGTGTCATCGGAGGTGAAGAGCGGCGAGTACTACGAGCCTGTTGGTGTTGCAGGTAAAGCGACTGAACAAGCAAAGGACATGTGGTTGGCGGAGAAGGTGGGTCGTTGGACAGATGTTGAGCTTCAGCGATTTATGTTTTAGTTTCCATAGAATTCTAGCGTACTCCTTTATAATGGCATCTTCCGCATAATATAATAGAGATGGCACAAGACGTACATATTTAATCTAAAACTTTGTCAGCTTCTTCATGAACAACGCCCATCAAGAAAGTACCTCGGCTCCACGAGGGCTCACTAAGCGGGAGAGCGCGCTGCTGGTGCAGCTACGGACAGAGAAGATTGAACTCAACAATTTTCTCTTCGCCCAAAGAGTGCCAGACGTCACCAGCCCGTGCTGCGACTGCGGAGCGAGACGACAGACCGTCGCACATATCCTTCTCCACTGCAGCAAGCGCAGACATCTCCAGAACCGTATCTTCGCCAACCTGTCCGGACGAGACAATATACAGACTATCTTGAGCACGCCACAGCTAACCACCAAAGCCATCCAGCACATAGAGCAGACGCAGATCCTTGGGCAAAATGGGGATCGCAGACGCGCAGACGACAGCCGAGTGTTGGAGGGAGACTGAAGGTATTGCAGACGCAGAACACGAGGCAACCATACCTCTACGAGTCTGGAAGTACAGTGTTCAGTTAGTAGAGTCATTATCTAGATGAGGTTGGCAGCCATGTGTAGATAGTGATGAGAGAGTATCGGCAGGCCTCTAAAGAGAGATGGTCTTATTTGAGGGATGAAGTGCGGCGGCGTGGAACAACGTCCGCACCGCGTCGGCTCTCTGCCGAACCTGCCATCCAGGCATAGCTGCTTTTCGGGGCTGCAACCGTGTAGGACTTAATCAAATCAAATCAAATCAAATCAATCACAACCACGACTAGAATCGCTATTCCGCTGTTTTTCGTGACGCAATCTCTACCTTCTAGCACATGCTACCTGTTCGCTGCAAGGGTGTGGCAGGAGCGGGTTGGCCATCCTCCCGCTAGCGGGATCAAAATGATGTAAGTTAGCTTCGCCTCTTGCGAGCCCTTCTGTGCCAAGCACTCGACTTAACAGCCTTGGCCTAATGCCTTTGCAACCTACTTCAACCGCTTCTTTAGAGCATGCAAAATCGACGCGAATTCATACGTGAATGAGCGCGACCAATACCGCGAACATTTCGTACCTTTGTGCTGAAAACGTGGTCCACACGTTTCAGCATCGCGATATCTCTATACGCTGTTTCGCCGACGCAGACATGCACACACCAAAATGCGCCTCCTACGACGAAAAACTGACGGCAGCTTTGAGCTGGTCTCCTGCGATTCCAATGACCCTCCTCCATACGCCATACTCTCGCAAACATGGTCAGACGGCGAGGTTACGTATAATGAGCTGGTAGCTGGGACGGCTGCGAACAAGGCTGGCTACGTCAAAATTTGCTTCTGCGTAGAACAGGCAGCGAAGGATGGCCTTGAATATTCCTGGGTGGACACCTGTTGCATTAACAAAGCTACAAATGATGAGCTTAGTAGTGCTATTAATTCTATGTTCCGCTGGTACAAACGTGCAAGAAAGTGCTATGTATACCTATCAGATGTTAGTGTACCAGGCGAGGTCACTAGCGCAGGGACCTTCCCAATAACATAGGAATATGCTTTTCAACAGAGCAGATGGTTTACACGTGGCTGTACGCTACAAGAGCTTCTTGCGCCGGCTACAGTTAAGTTCTTCTTAAGGAACGGCAAACAACTAGGCACGAAGATATCACTTGAGCGAGAGATCCATGAGATTACTAGGATTCCTTTATCGGCGATAAGAGGGCAACCATTCACTGAGTTCAACATCGAAGAGCGAATGAATTGGTCATCCAAGCGTAAGACGACATTGAAGGAGGACATAATATACTGCTTGCTGGGGATATTTAGAGTACATATACCCCATATATGAAGAGGAAGAAGAATACGCAACTTTACGATTCAAAGAGGAAATACAAAAGCGTTCCAAGGAAAAGCTACTGGAAATCGAAACCATTGGCCATCTGTAAGTAACGCCTTCCTAAAATAATCTCATAATAAGATACTACGATAGAAATCGTGTTAGCTCCATACAACGCTGTACATCAGCACATCTTGTCCTTCCGAGAGTCCCGCAAGACCTTCAGCCGCCTCCAGCCACAGCATCGCGATTCATTGCGTCAAGGAAATCCCTTTTACGTTTTGATTCTTTGCTCCAAAATTTAGGATTCTACGGGAATTGCATTAGCCAAACGGATGAAAGCAAAACGGAATTGCAAAGACAATTCCGCTTTGGCGTCTGCCCCATCGAGTTCTTGGGGCCTCGAGGGTGTTATGGCCTGTACATCTCGTTAAAAGTTGATATGCGGGATAAGATTTGGGGTTTTGATTGGGGCTTCCAAACGCAACAACGAGTATCAGCAGATTCTCCTCTGATGAGGGCTTGCAGGAAGGGAGATGTCACGCTAATGAAACAAATTCTGGAAGAGAAAAAAGGGGGTATCAACGATCGGATTGCTTCCTGTGGAAAGACACCTCTCATCGCATGAGATAGAATGAAATCAAGACCAGAACTTAGCTAACGAGTGTCATGACAGGTAGCGATCACTTCAATGCAATTTAAAGCTGTTCAATTCTTATTGGAGAACAAAGGCAATCCAAACATACCAGACGATGATCAGATGTAAGCCTTAGGACGTGAACGGAGATTTGCTTTGTACAACGTTAACACCATATCCCATAGTCTACCTATTTTTACTATAGTGGGGATGAATCTCCGCCGTAGTCAAGACTTTAAGCAATTGCCACCAACATGGGATCGTTGGCTCGACGTTCTCCGGCTACTGATAAGATATGGGTCGTCCACCCATGAAATCGTCCGAGGAAGAAGTCTCGCGGGATTGAATGTAGCGAGACACGATACATCGTCCAAGGTGCTGCCGTTTCTCCGTATCCTCGCCGTTGAAAACGCTCTTGATTATGACTCAATAACCGATGATCCCACATGGTCTGTTATTAAAAATGCCGTAAAGTCAGGCACGGATACTGTTGATACTCTCAAGCTGCTGCGCGCGTGCGGAGTAAACATAACAAGAGTTTTGGCCGATGGCCGGACGGTACTACATCTTACAGCGCATCATTGTCAAGAAGATGACGCCCTTTCTTATCTCCTCGAAACTGGGTGCGCTACAGATATCGACAGACAAGACCAGTGGGGGTGGACACCTTTACACTACGCTGTGTTAGCACTTACATCCGCAGAGGGCCCGAGACCATACTCTACCGCGGCAATGCTTATCCGTAATGGTGCAGATCTGAACATTAAAGGGCGGAAAAATCCCGGAAGCTCGTATGAATTCCATTCAGAGGAGTTTACAGGCCCCGAATTGCTCAAACACGTGCGTTACAAGAGGTTTGAGCTTCTGTTGGATGTTCTTGATGCTGCTGGCGTTGAGATTGGGTCCGTTAGACACACTGACGCCTTCTATGACGCTGAAGAATATCATAATGGAGGTGTTCAACGTCTAAGTTATCATGTCAGGCAGCAATGAATAATGGAGAACTATATCGAGTATTAGAAAAGATTTGACTTTAGTCTTGTGCTATATTCTATTTTATGAAGGTTGGTCGCTTTCTCCTATTTACATGGAGACAGCAACCTGTTTTCAACACGTGATTTCCAAGAAATGTCCAATCGTCATCGGTATCTCTTACAAAGTGGGGTAGTCCTTTTGGCCTATGGGGCTGTGTTTAGCGTGAAGCATGATAAAGAGGCGCATACCATGCTTGGAAGACTAGTCCAAGGACATCTCCATCTGCTGATACAGCCTTGCCCCTCAAGAAATCTTCCTGCTACATGGAATGCCGAACTCTTTTCTATCTTTCCGCCCGTGAATCTGCTCTACAGCTGATTAAATGACCCCAGCAGGCAGTAGTCATGAATGGCAACGTTGTTAAGGTTAACCGAAAATGTGTAAGATAAAGGGAAGGTTGAATATGCGGAAGGCTGACTGCCTCATAGTGCACATGTGGACGTCAAACTTGTTTTCCGAATGAAACACAAAGGCAAATAGTTTCCGCTTGCAAATGCCACCATCTTTACTGCTATGAATGCATACGGGAAGTGTGGTACAGTTACAAAACATACAGAATGGTTGTTTGGTGTGTAAGTATGACACCGAACATACGGAAGAGCAGATGAGCTAAGGTTTTCTTGCAAGTGTGAGTGTGGAACTCGTTGGTCCTCAACACAGTATCAAAACATTTCGTCTCCCTGGCTACGGTGTCCATGTGGTCACGCTCCGCGAAGTTCAGAATATTGCGGTTGCAAAATCTATGAAGGACATGACGAGAAAATCACAAAGGCATCGAATACAATGACACAAGAGGGCTGTGAGGAGAAGACTATGTCTTACATGGAATTCACAGGCTAGGGGGGATCTAATGTTGAATATCCCTAGGATGATAACTAAATACTATTATACAGCAACTTGGGGTGTTGCTAGACGATAATCGTGGTGGTATAACTTAAGTAGAGACGATTTTTCCCGCATGCTAAATACGCTCTGTCACATAGTCAAGCTGAAGAAAAGGGCAGATAGGCTGGTCCTAGTATATAAATGTGCATTAACACTACCCAGTTCTTATCGGGAGGCTTGCTCGGTCTGTTTGAAGGGGATCGACGGCGGGCGATATTGAAGGCTAGCGTGGGTATGTACTTGATGCGGACAGGCTGCCCAAAACCAGACATTAACATCCATCCCTGAGTGCTGGGACACCCGCCGTGCTGGGACAAATGAGGGGTACTTTGACTTTTAACACTGCTTTCTTCGCACATTTCAATATTCGCTATATATTCAAATTGACTATAGTGTATAGCTATTAGTGAATCTTTCCCGATCCCCCTAACTAAAAGATTTTAGCATCCAACCCCGTGTAACACACTATCGCCGTTTGCGCCGTCCGAAGATGCCGATGCATAGGAATAACAAAGCGGCTCTATCCTCGTATCGACCCTCTTCCGGCCCACAGTTAATCAGAGTTTTCTTTCTAGTCTGTGTTACTCCGCCGCTAACGTCTACTCCTCTGCGCCGGATATTAGATATATCAGCATTAAACTCAATCACGGTATATTTTGGCGATAGCTCTCTAAGTGCAGCTCCTTAAAGTACAGATAGCTCCGTCATGTGACGGGTTTTGGTGGAGCTCCTCGATGATATCTCGGTACGCGATTACAAAATCCGGGTACAATCTTATGTAGTTACAGCTTCTGCTTTCTATAAGCAGGCGATCTTTGATCCCACGCTAAGTCTTTATTACTTAGTAGTAATCTTGCCTAAACGGTATTAGTTCCTGTTAGCGATGTTATTAGTTAATTTTCTTTCTAGCACTTAGGCAAATTAGCGCATAGTATTCACGTGGTTTAACTTTTCCTAGACAAGCGTGTATTGGGCGGGCCTGTGTCCTGCGTGGGATGACAACTGAGCTATGTGCGCAAAGCGGAAGCTGTAACTGCATAAGAGTGTATAGCACAACCTTGACCGCCGCTGTTTACGCTGCCTAAAGACGCCGATGCCGTCGCTCTATCAAGAAATGATACCCCAGCACTATGCTTGTATTAGCCGTCCTCTAGCTAACAATTAATTAGACTTTTCTTTCTAGTTAGTATTATACCACTACTAAGATTTATCTCTCTATTGTAGTTATTAAATAAGTTGGTACTAAATATAGTTAATTATAGTATAGTTATAACTACTATTAATAGCTTGTTAAGTATATAGACTCTTAAAGTATCGCCGGCTCCGTAATCTAGAATTAGGGGTTCGGCCTTACTAGCAATATAGTAACATCCGACTCAGTCGCTGATAATCTTTAATTAGCTGTGACATCGGAGCGCGGTTTAGATAGACTAGAAAAGGGGAATATTTATTAGTGGCAACGATGTATAAATCTAAGTGTGTTCCCTTATCACCTTCCAATATTGCTACTATAGTAACCAACTCTCATCTTTGTTAACAAGTTATAACTATCTTCTTCTACATTCTAGGCAGAAGTCATTGCCTCCAAGATCTTCAGTTCAACAGCGTCAAAACCTTTCTACGTTACTCCAACCTACCGCTTCCTATCCATCTTATACTACAGATCCTCAAGCAATTCAACAACTACCTAGACGACATGAAGTCGATTCTCCCTATACTATTGGCTATAGTTGGAGTAGTCAACGCCTCTATCCCGTCTCGACTTGATGGTTGCGTATACGATCAGCTTCAAGTTACACCCTGGGATAATTGTGGAGGAGCCTGCAAAGGGACCAACTGTCAGCTAGCTTGCCATAGAGCCGGCACGAGGGACAGTCCAAATGACTACATTGTTGTTGGTAACTACAACGGTCCGATCGTCAATACTTGCAGCTGCTTATGCTACTTGCGCTGAGTAGTGTAATGGGCTGAACGACCTTCAATAAAGTTCCTTAATAAGATCTTAGTGTACGATCATAAAATCTAGGTGCGAGAGATCACACCTAGATCCTGCTCATCTGAACCGTGTTCGGACGCCACTCTGTCGGGCTAATTACCTGTTCGAGCGGCGCTCAGACTAATGGGTGAGCTAATTTCTCCAATTCGTACGCAGATATAACCGCTTTAGTAGAAAGTTGCTAGCTCTGTATCGAATATAAATCTATTACACTCGGCATTACTCTTAGCATATAGCCCCTTACACGCTCTGTCTAATTAGAGTTTAGTTATCGCTGCCAATCGGTGCGCGCCCGCTAATTCTCCTAGCTAGATATTAGTAGAACAAGCACTAAGTAGTGCTCACCGTGTTTTTGAGAAGATATCGGCGACTGAGTCAGATATTAATATATTGCTAGTAAAGCCGAACCCCTAATCCCAGGTTACAGAGCCGGCGATACATTAAGTCAGTTCGCTTTGCAAGTCTGCGTTACGGCCCAAAAGTGTGAGTGCCTAACGCACGCGACAGATTTTAGGTGTCCACAACCCCTCCATAACCATCAACAGTCTGCAAACTTTCGAGCCTCTCAAATATTGCATCGAAGCCTTCCATACAGGGCACCTTTGCGACCGCCATCGAGGAAGTGCTCAACTGTCCGAGCAGCACCCCAATCCAGACACACTTTTGCGCAACGCGATACTACTACCTCTATCTGCTAATCGCCTAGCGGATTAGCCGTGAGCGTTGACAGGAACGCAGGCAGCCCGCCGCAGCACTCTAAGAGCGCAACCTTCTCTTTATCGTCGTAGCAGGAGGGCACGAAGTCTACTTTAATGTGAAATTTTGCCTTTTCTTCTTCGGTCAATTCGTTGTTGATGGTCGCCTTTAGCGATGCCGCCAGCTCCTCGTCAGACTGCGAGGCTGAAAAACCGGTGACGCGCAGCACGGGGCCCTTCTTCGCAACGGCCATGCTGCCTCAGAAGTGAACAATAGAGCAAGTGAAGGGCATTATTTAGAGTCTAGGTAGCGAGCAGCCCGACTGAGGGCGCGTAGGCGGGAGGTTAGTAGTATCTTGAGCTGGTGATCGGCGGTCATGGCTGGGCTGTGCTGAACTGCGTCGCATAGCTGACTAACGCAGGCAATATGTTAGTTATAACCAGGGTGCGCAGATAGGTTAGGTATGACTATGCCTGCCAATCAGCGTTGTCAACGGAAATCTAGGCTTTGCTGTGGGGGTTTTGTGGCGCGTCTGGATCCTTCGTCTGAGCTGGGTGCAGTTGAGGAAATCCGTCCTCCCCGCAATAGCCCCTTCTCAAGGCGAGGCACATCCTTCCACCTCACCCCGTGCCTGGTCTGTGAGAAGCCAGCTGATGCAAGCTGAACGCAGCTCTCCAATTCATATAGGCCCTCCACAGTCCCTTGTCCAACCTAAAATTCAGGCGCGAACTATTCCTTCATCGCTGCAGCCGAGTGATGTCGACACAAGGCAGCCAACCCTCCCAGCCAGACATTTTGCCAGCCGTCGATCATCATCATTCACCCTGTGCACGGCTGAGCTTAAGAAAGCATGGTCCGCCGATATCGAAGAACAACCCTTGTCGAAGCTCAGCTGGATCTATAGCTCCGTCTAACCTGGTTTTCCCTTCAATCATTTACCAGAAAAACCATTTTGTACAGCCGAACAGATCTCCTATCGAATATCTATCTCTCGACCTGAGGACACTAAAACTCAACGCCATTCACCATCATCTCTGGCTTGCTGGCTTGCCGAAGGCTGCCAGGCCCCTACACAGACAGAGGCTTCTCGGTCGGAGCATACTCGTCACTGAAGATCCAAACAAGCACCTGGTTTGGTTCGAGTCTCAGATGTTCGTCAAGCCACTGCCAGAGTACTTACTTGACTACGACTATTAGAACAAGTATCTGTGTTCTGAGGAGGTGCTCTATTAGTCTACGTGTAGGCTATTGCTATCCTATACGTGGCTTATATGCCACTAAAGCGATCTTGCAATTGTATAGGAGATTAGTCTCCTGTCGAAGGATATTGCGTGGCTAGATTAGGTGGAATTTTTAGATGCCTTCCTTAATAATGTTAACTTAGTTACTCTAAGTGATGTTAATAAGTAACACAAATATAGAGAGCTACGATTAAGCTGACTTAATATTATCTATAGACTCTGGCCCCTAGCGCACTCGCTGAATAACTTAATTCAGAGATATAGAGCAGACTCTACCTAGTATAAAGCCTTCTTTATACGCTATTTTAAATAGATGCTAGCTGCGTTTGCTGTGCTCTCCGTTATGCTCTCAGCTCTATAAGTTGGTCTTACGACACCAGTGCTGCAGGATAATTATAAGTTCTAAAATATTTCATACGGCTCAACCGTGGCAGCACTTGTTGCAGTTGCCGCAGGTGCTGTCACTATTCTCACGTTTTGGATTGCGCTATTCTGGTATAATATTTTGTCTTGTTGGCGGTACGATCGGGAGATTGAAAGTAAGAGATGTAGTGTTGTATGTTTACCTTGAACAGGCTTGTGTACTGTTTGCTGGCGCACTTAGATTGCATATGCGCGAAGTTGCTGTTAGCGGCCTTAGCTCTCGTTTATTTGCCTCTTGATAATGGGCGCCTGAAGCTGAAGCAGTTACTGAAGGATTTACCAAATCCTCTGACTCAGTTGCTTGTTCCAGCAACTGACAAATTTGTAGCCCTCTGCCAGTCCGAAGAGTAGCTGCAGACACCTACAACACCTGTGACGTCTCTAACAACAGAGGCTCTATCGCCACTACATGGCGTGGTCAAATGTGAAACTCTTGTGCTTTATGAGAGAAGCAAGCAGCGCATTGAGGGGCGCATGTAGACCCTAGCTGCTGCTGCTCGCATCTCTTTCGCCGAACGCTTGCTTCTCCGAGACCACAACCGGTTTCTACCCAAGATCAATGCTGAGATTAGAGCTCGTCGGTTGGTAAATCAACAATACTAGAAAAGGCCAAGGTAATGACTTAGGGGGCGCTCAAGGAAGCACGAGCGAAGCACGTCGCGAAAGAGGTAGCAGCTACCAAAGAGAGAAAGCAGCTTCGCAGGGAGCCCGTGGGCAGAGTAGAAGTAGCAGAGATAAAGGCTAAGGGCAACATAACGAAGCGAAGCGCCAGCGCCACCATATGTATACCTTACACGTGTAAGTACGGGATAATGTATCGAAAGAGGACAGAACAAAGCCACAAATAGTGTAGCGACTTGCCAAGCACAGGCGTTGATGCTAGCTAGATATTCGCTATATCAGTGCACGTGATTCTAGGCTAGAGAATATTATGGCAAAGTGAAGCTGGAAATTCAGACCGGTTAAGTTGCGCCACCTTATAACAAAGAAGCAAAGCACGGAGTAGATATTCTACCTATTGGGCTCAACGGCCTATATACTTCTTCTCGAGAAATCTGAGAGGAATAAAGGTGACTAGAGTGATCACAAGTGTCATCTCATTACCGACATCACCACCAGTGCTGCCAATCAATTTGGCGACAGGTCCAACAAACCATGTCTGATCCATGCCCATAAACCAGCCAATAACTCCCAAGCCAAACGAAGTACCAGCCGCAAGGCCCAATGGTAATCTGCTTGGGTCATTCCACCCATCAAGATCGTAATTATCAAAGTTGCTGCCACGGAAGACAAAGTGCTCAGAGAAGAGGATGATGAAGTATGAAGTGCACCAGTATCCAAGGATACCCAAGAAGTTCTGCAGATAAGCATTGAGCTTTTCGCGTCCACCTAGAGCAAGAGCGAGGATGCAGGCAAAGACAAGGAAGGTCCAAATGAATCGAGGAATCTTTGAAAATGGGCGAGCAAATTGCTGGCAAGAAATAGCAGCGCTGTAGATGCTAATGACGTTAGTGTTGATTCCCGAGAGCACAAGCAGGGCAAGGAGGAATTTAGCGAATCCTCGTGGGTAGAGGAACTCCTGGATCAAGAAGCCAATTCCATCGTTTTCGTAGGTCGTCTTCCATTCTGGCTTGTTGTTGAGCGCCGATGCCACGACGGCGCCAGCGATCATGCCAATGCTAGTCGGAATCGCAATGCCAAAGGTTGTCATAAGAAAGACTCTGGCTCGGGAGATGCTAGCAGGATAGTGTACATAGTAGTCGGAGGCCATGGTGCACCACGAGCAAGAGCTGCCGTAGATGATGGCGATGAGGGTCAAGACTGCACCAGCTTGGTTGATCCCAGACACACTTGCAGGAGTTGTGTTGTCGGCATATTTGCCTGCCTCGCCGAAAAAGATGATGAAGATGATGAAGAAGACTATCCAAGCATATCGCTCGTAGACCAGAATCGCACTGAGGCCGACGAAGGAGATTATGAGAGCGACTACTGCCAAAATGATGATGCCTACGACAAGAGAGAGGTGACCATCTGCAACAGCCTCCAGGGCTAGACCTGCAGTAATGCAAGCGACTGCAGACCAGCCGATCTGGACGATGGCATTGAGGAAAGCAACGATCTTGTTTGGCCACCAACCGAAGCTATATCGGGAAGCGGAAATCTGTCGAAGACCAGTGACGGCGCCAAAGGTGGCTGCGAATCCAGTAAGAGCACCTCCCAGGAGCGAAGCAAAGATGATGATGACGATGGACTGTTTGAGGGACAATCCGAATTCCCAGCCGAGGAAGCCGGTCGCGAAACAGGACGTGTTCATTGTGCCGGAGGCCCAGAGGCAGAACATGGTAAGCTGTTCATGGAAGCGGACTGGTTTCTTCTCTTCTGGCAGCTTCCTCTTGATGGCTTCCGATTCGATACCAAATTTGGCGTCCAGGCTTGATTCGATGCTTCGAAGACGAGAGAGGATGCCGCTATCTTGCTTGACGTAGGCATTGTTGTACAGCTCGACATTGGGAGAGCTGGTGTCGTTGAAGTTCTTTTCGTCGATATGAGCTGTTTTGGCGTGCACACCGGCTTCTTCGTCAGACGACGACATCTTGGGCAGATCAGCTAGGGTCTTGGGAGGAACGAGTTGCAACTGCAAATAGGTGAACGGCCTGTAAATGGGTCAGCGAAAGGTTCATATCGCATGTGGGACAGCCGCGTGGCACATAAAGCGGAGATTCTATGTGGCGACACTTGACGAGTCCGGCCCTCGTGCTAATCCGAATTTGTGCCTCTCCTCCCCGAGGGAACACGGACGAAGATATGAAGCTGGCAATGATTGGCGGGACGGCAAAGCTAGGCAAATTCTTATCTGCACAAGACTGCATGGCAAAAAAGCTTGGTAGGGCAGGTATCTTTCAACCACTCAGGTGGTACTACGGCCGCTGCTTGAGTGGGCGTCTCGCACCGGCTCAAAAGACATCTACAAGGCAGGCTTTCTGGCGACTCTTGCTGAGATATGGCTTCTTACCTTCACGCGCTTTACTACATAGAGCAGCTGTGGGCGAATTGATCTTAATCTGTGGGAGCCAGAGCTTGGACTTGACCAGTTACAGCTGCGCGACACGGACAGTAAGTATGAATGCGACGCACTACCGCCAGCTTACGTAGTAGTTGCGACAGACGACACCGCACATACAAAGCACTTTGCCGCCTTTAGGCTCATTACTATCGTGCCCACCGCCACTGCAGCGCTTCACACAAGTTCGGATGGCGCTATAGGGCGAGCAATTGAGCGTACGCCGGTGTCGTCGGCACGCGCGAGGAGAGCGCGATGAGCTTGGCTGGGACACAACACCAGAGCCAGAGAACCCACGACCGGTGAAGCTGCCTAGGTTACACCAAAATCTGTCTGCCAGATTCAGGCGCAAGAGCCCTTTGTCTACGCTGTGCTTCGTGAGCACCTCCTACGTGACGTTGCTGCCAGCGTTATTAAACACAAGCGTGGTGTCAGTAATTGTGCGCATCGCGGAGGGCTCGCAGCGCGAGCTATACCATATAGAGTAGCGCAGCTTGCTAAAGGTGAGCGCCGTCGTCATAAACGCCGTGCTCTTAAAGCGGATGGTGGACCTACCTACTCGCAGGACGCGCGCTCAATAGTACAACGCCGCCAGGTTAATGACGTCGCCCGCTTACAACAAAAGCTCACTGCAAAACCACTTCACGAGATAACAACGATTGCTAACAAATAGAAGCGGATGTGGCCTAAAATACAGAATTGGAGCAAGAAACACCTTGAGCGCGTAGCCAGCGGCGTCACAATTATGCACGGCGTTGCGTGCTGTGAGTACGCCGTTAACCATGATGACTATAACACCAAGGCGCAATACAAACTGCAGCGCGTACAAGAGAATCGCAGCGTAAAGTACAATGAGAGCATGCTTACAAATGATAACATAGAGGCAGCGGAGGTAGCTGCAGCAGTCCGCTACCAAGTCCGCCTGTACCAGCTGCTCTGCCAACTCTCTCGACATTAAGATAACAGCAGCGACGACAATACAATAGATAATAAAGACAAGCTATTAGATATGCATTAAAGCGATACCTCTTGTACAAAAATCAAGTTGTAATAGTTACCTAAAAGCTTTATAATACTGGATAGGATAGCTAGCTATATAGATAGCAGTAACTGCAGTCGCGACTCAGCGTTCTCGGATCAACACCGAATCTTTTCGCGACTTTGGCATATACAGGTTTTTGTTCTCCATGATCTAGAGCAGCAAGCAAGCCGTTAGTTGGTTGCATATTGGTCGTGTTGTGGTTGGTAGAAATGAATAGACTGGTGGGTGTTGGAAGACGTGATCTAGCGTTGGCCCGTCCGCAGCGTTACGCTGTCCGGCACCCCTACCGAAAGCTGGCTAAATTGTTGTAGCAGTTTCTCTTTGTGGTCGTCTGACACCTTTGGCTGTATCACTATTCTGATCGAGTATCCGGATCATCACTTGCTAAAGGAGTGCATGGCTAGGTCGGCGCGGGCAGCTATCTTTGCAGAGGATCCAGTTGAAGAGCTTAGATTCTTGATCTGTTGAAAACCACTGCTCTTAGCGGTGAGTTATTACGCGTTGAACCTGCCCACTGAGGCAATCGCAGATTGTTGATCGCGGAACGTTGTACGTGGCAGCAGCGAATTTTGAAGACTTACAAACGCTAACGCAACAATTGTGGATGGTAGATTAAATAGATGCTTCATGATCGACCATGTTAGGCGCGCTATGGTGATAGTGGATAGCTTTGAAAGTCAAAAATAGTTATTTATTGTTGGTAGAGCAGTTGGAGTAGCCACTACTAGGTGTCTGAGCTCATAACAGAACTGGTCAGTGTAATAGGGAATTTAGTAACTGTGGCTTGGCATATTGTATTCACAAAATAGATTCAAATAGAACTCACAATTAACTCAGTACTCACTATGCTACTGAAGACAGTCTAGATGATTTATGGGGAATGTATTGTTTTAGGAAAATCCATCCATGGATTTTGTGTAAACGCAGCAGCTGTGGCAGAATTCGGATAAACCGCCTAATATCCACACGGGCCTATCACTTTAACAATTGATGGACATCTTGCCATTTTCCACTCAAGACTTAATCCCTCGAAATTAGATTCCGCGAGTTGGGGTTGGCAAAGTAGATTAATGTGGGTGGGAACTGTAACGCTAAACCAATTTTAGCGTGAACCAGGTCACTTTCGTCGCCTTATACTGGTTAAGTATCTAGTCTTTTATATTAGTAAGCGGAATACTCTGCCACTCTTCTTTCCAACCTGCTCCTGTCTCTGGCCATATGGATTTCCAAATATCTGCAAACTGTTCGCTTTCCATCAATTCATCCATGTCATCTTCAAGCAGCTCGCTATTGCGGAGTCTGGTGTCACTGTTGATTTCTTCAATCTTGACATCGTCTTGGTGTGTGTCTCGAGGGTCACGCCTGCATATCCAGCTTCTCGCTATCCATTCAAGAACGCCTTCGAAACCCATGCCCATCCTTTGGTCGTTAAGTACCGATACTCTGCCTACCCGCAAACGTATGAGATCCAGCTTTGGAGGCAGGCCAGCTTTAACCGAGGCATGAGTTGCCAAAATTTGTCGAAAGATGGATCGTGCAAGACTCTCATCTACAGCAGCGTTGATGAAAACTTTGCGGATGGCGATTGCCATCGCTTTTTGATCTTCTTCGTCGTTCGAAGGCATCCCAAGGATGCAAGGGGCATCTGGCCCGTCATCCTCACGATAGTCAGTACATTTGAGCATTAGTGATAGGTTTTCCAGGTATCGCATAGAGCCCAGGGTCTGGTATATTCGAACCTCGACATGATCATCTGCAGAGCGTAGCATTTCAATGCTCAGCTTTCTGATTCTCGGGCATGAATCTCGCAGCTGGATGACCTGGTGTGCTGAAAGAATGAAGTCTTCGATACAAAGCACTTGTAGACCGTGGCCGTGGCGTTCAAGTATTGCCTCGAAGCTCATGGGTCCAGGCGCAACCATTCCAAGCTCGACCAAAGGGTGCAGTGATGCACAGAGCCGTGTCATTATTGATTCAGCATCGACACGATCCACGTATTCACCGGAGATAGCTGGTAGACTCAGAGATCTCAAGCGCGAGAGCCCATCTTGTTCTGCAAGATCAGCTAATCTTTTAAGAACATCCAACTCCATCAGTCTTTCAAGCTGGAGAGATCGCAGCATAGAGAAATCAGTGTGGCACTCCCAAGAGGCCAACTCTAATCCAGAAACTTCGTACAGGGCGTTGATAGCAAGATCCTGAATTTGACCTTTAGCTTGGGGTATCTCACACCATTCGCCATCTGACTGAGGATGAAATCCCTGCCATTGGGGTCGCTTGGGCCTCTGTCGTATAATTTCCCCGGATGGTGGTGGTGTATTGTCCCACATACAGACGTGCTTCAGGTTGGGTGCTAGCCCAGCCGACAATTGCAATGTGGCCTCTCTGTTGTAGTTTGCCCAACCACTCGCATCATACTTGGAGTAGAGAACACTGACGTTATACAAACACGGAGAAGTCGCTAGCATGTAATCAGATTCCTCAATATCTTGAAGGATATCCTGTTGATGGAGGCTGTGGAAATCTAGTCCATGGACGTGTAGCCGACAAGCCGGCATTTGCTTATGTAACACAGCGAGAATGCAACAAGGAAACTGCGCAGTCAACATCCATATAATGTCTCTGAGGTGGAGGCCAGAGATAAATTGCGCAAGCCGTTGCCAGTATTCGTCGGGTCGACGCTCATTCCTTGACTTCCACGCTTGAAGGGAAGATACCGGATAAAAGTCGGGGGCAAGTTTCGTCCATGAGACATACAAGGCGTTATTCTTGTTATCCTCGCGCTTGACTTGGTCGTCTGCACCGGTCCCGAGCTCCAGAACCTTAATATAAGCACGGCTGTTCGCTTGATCCAATATATGTTCCAATCTTTCCAATCTCTTATCAAATTCTGCGTCGTCCGTGTTGATTGACAGGCGGGAAAAGCGCTCCCGCCTAGCCGCAGCGCGGCATACCCTGCTAGCCGACGCGAAAGCTAACGAACTGGCCCTGTGCGGTTCACATTGCCCCAGGTATTCACACACTAACTCTAATACTAGTGGTGGAAGTGCTTCCATGGTATTTTAGTGTGGCGTAGGATATTGGCGAACCTCGGCGTAGGGGATCAGGCAGTATACTTGAATTGAGTTGCACGTCCTGTTGTGAACAACAATGGGAACGAAGGGAAACCTGCGAAGTGGCGGCCCTTCTGTTCCCTTTATAGACTCTCGTTTATTTAACCGATCCCAGAGTGAGAGATCACGTGCAAGCCGAGTAGAGATAGTTTGCGTCAATGGAAATCCGCTAAATGCAGCGCCCATTTAGGTTGACATTTTCTAATCTAGGTTCACGCCAGAGCGTTTACTCTTCTGTCAAGTTGAAGCTTTGCTACTACAGATTCACAGCAACAAAATCGTCCTCAAGCCATAAACGCCATGCTCTTTTGCCTTTTCCATCGCTGTCAGAGTCGTATTGAAACAGCGCAGTCCCTCGGGTCGTCTCAAACATCTTCTTCGCATCCCCTGTGTTGTTGTCGGGGTTTAGTGGAACGTATTTATGTGGTTTGAGACCCGGCATCTTGCCTCCCAGTTGATCTTTGATGGCCCTTACTATACTATCCACATGGTTGGGGTATTTTAGTGGGTAATCCTTGTTGTTCATTGCATTGTCTACTGTTGGGGCCAAATAATGTAACGTGGTTCGCTGTCCTCTCTCTGATTTGAACACTTCTGGGTCCACGCCAGGACCGGTCGGTGCGACGTAGACTTTGAGGTCGTTACTTGTCTTTTCATTGTTCAGCCGATCTGGTTTGTTCCTCAGGATAGGCGAGGGAGAGGGATTTTCCACAGGCCTTCCCTTGATGAAATCGATTACCCGCTCCTCAAAAGCTTTGTTTGTGGTAGAGTCATCGCCGTCATTCGAGTAGACCTCCCAAAGATGCGTCTTTGGTAGAGGTTAGTTCTGTATTGTGGTGTAGTATCACGTGACTAAGCGTATAGTATATATTACGATTATCTTTCGTACGTAGATAGGCACCTTCTCCAATCAATTCTTTGCAACGATCAACTTTCAGCTTATTTCNATCTACTCGATTGCGGGTCGCCCCTCTGATCTTTTAAGCTCGATCACGTATCGTGCCACAGTATATAAGATTATTTTGGCTGGCTGTTGTTCGCACACTCGCCATCCAAACATGGTTTTTTGGAACTAAGACGACAATAGTGCAGCCCATAAGACCATTGGTTCCAATCTGAAACGGTTTGGAACCAAATTCACGCTAAACACTGACTGCGCGCTCATCAGCAGTAGATAAACCTATCTAATCGTTAGAGCAGTTTGAACAAGGTGATGATTGTGGGGCAATTACCTCTGTCATGAAACAAAGGCAACAAAGGTCCGAAGTATGTATCCCTACGCCCTTCCTCATTGAGAATAGGAACTACATAACTGGTTGATTATTCTTTAGTGGGGTTTTCTTAACAGGTAGGTCTCTCTGGTCTGCGCTATATCGGAACGTTCTCTTGTGCAGAGGCTTCTTATCAACATCGAAGTTCTCGACAGAGGCGTTGGCAATCACGCCCCTAGCAAAGCTTAACTTGGCTGCCAGAGAGCCAACGCTGCAGACACCTCGGCCACACCCACTTGATAGCTCACAGCTAGACCAACATGCCTGAGGCAGCTGAACGTCTTGTCGGCTAGTGAGTAGGTCGGATTGAGGACTTCCACTGATCTGATTAGTAATGTAGATTGTCTTGGTCGGCTTTCTTACTGACTTGTACGGTATGGCTTTGGAATATGCAGGGCTCAGAGCTACTGAGAGCCAGAGCAAGACCGAACTAATCTGCGAAATCGGCTTCATGTCTAGTCTGAGAGCCAGAGAATCGTTTTAGGGGATTATTCGTCTTCCCAAATTCATAGCAAGTCGCGAAAATATGCCCCATTTACACGAATCAGTTCTCTCGGTTAAATCAATCCACTCTAAGCTTTTCCCTGATTCTTTGAAGGATCAGATGATAAAAGAATGGGATAAAAATGGGATGTGATTATTCCCATGGCACAGGGAAGCCTTGACGGCTGAGATTATTGAATGGGACATTGTAACGGGCTGAACGCCCTTTNGATAGCTCCTCGATGGAATCTCGGCCTACTCGCAGAACCCGGGTGCTGTCTCGAGCACCCGGATTCTCTGCGCACCGCCCGAACGACGTTCAGACGACAGCCGCAGGACCCAGAAGCTGCCNCGTGCACCTAGACTTCACCGGTCCGATTGTTACTCGGGTAACCAGCTTGTATATAGACAGCTACGTAGCTTGGGAGCTTAGCTCCTCATCGAATACAANCTCTTGTATACCTCGCGATTGCTCCCCGGAGCGCAGCCCCTTACAATACGTAGGCGTAAATCTACGTAGATTAAGATTGAGTATATAATTAACTATTACCTCCTCTTCTAGCTTAGTTAGCTTCTTTAAGTTAGGCTAGTAATCGCGTTAGGCAGGCTTGCCAGCGCGTCGGCAGCGGAGCGTTATTTCGGCTATATTATAGACTGCAGCAGCACAGCGATTCCCTTAAATCTATTTACTTTTAAGAGATTAGATAGTAAGTTAAATATCTAATTCGTCTAAAGCCATTTAAGCGTAGTAGTATTAAGTAATTAGATGTTTAGTTTAAGGAGGTGCGCAAGTTTGATGGGGTGCGCCGCTCGCTTGCCTGCGCCGCTCGCTTGCCATACACGTTAATAAAAGTAAATAATAACATTTAACTAGTATAATTTTTAGAAGAAGAGGTATCTATATCTATAGACAAAGGTAAAAAAATATAATCTATTAATAAATATGGAATAAAAATAACGGGTAGACGGAGATATTGTATTCTAAGGATAAAGTACCTCTCGTTTCTTACGGCACGGGGGGATTTGCGTGACGCAGGGAGAGACATTAGCTGTGATCACAACCACTTAGTCAGGGCTCGCTGATGAACATCAAGTTAACAAGATAATTGGCCATCGTTGACCAGTCTGGCCCAGTTTGCCGCGAGCCAATCTATGAGGGATGATGGAACTTTTGATCTCAATTCTTTGAGAGAAGCACTCAACGTTGGGCAACCGCGTCCCGTACCTACTCTAGCTCAGACCGAACAAAACCATCCTCTACGAGGCGGACCAATCCCGAACCGTACCGATGAGCAGAAAGCCCGTGACTTTGAGGTTGGATTCTTGGGCGAACAATATGTAAGTCTAGCCGCTGTGTTGAGTCGTCATGTTAGGTCAGTACTTAAAGTTGATTTCTGTCTAGGTGTACACCTTGCTACATGATGTTTTCAGGCTCCCTGGATTCACATGAGAGGTTAATTGGACTAGTTCTTTGCGCACTCGCGCCGGTTTCCCGGCCTTTGGCCGCGAGATATCAGACTTTACCTATTTAGATACAGAGGGTGCGCTTACCCATCAATTCATGCAGACACAGCATCACCATGAAGTACCAGATTGGCTCGATACATGCTGCAACGGTGGCAATGTGCCACGATATCGCATAGAGGTCAAGAGCACAACTAGTCGAGACGCAACTACTCCTTTCTATATGAGTGGAAATCAGCACAAGTTGGTATGCTCCATCGAATCACATAGCTGGAGTGCATGATTGGGCTAATTCCAAGTAGGCAAAAAAGCTGCGCGTCACCTCGGAGACGCCTTCTGAAATCTACATTATCTTGCGAGTCTTTGGTTTGGATGCATTAGAAGAAGGGACGCAACATCAGCCACAATGGAAAGCGTATATGGATCCGTACAGTCTAGGTAAGAAGGGTGTGCTGAGATTCAATGCGCCTACATATGTCGTTAAACCTGCCCTATAGAATAGCAGTATGTGATATAACCTAAGCTCATTCTAACGGAATCCGATTTGAACCTAGCCCTCTGTACAACTCTCGGTCAACTTTTACTCTTTCTCAGGCGTTATTTTCAAAGAGACTATAGTGAATGCACGTTTTTTTACTTATACCCGCCTAGTCAAACATAAAGCTACTGATTTCAGACGACCGTCGCGTTGGCATCGTGTAAATGGTTGGGGAGTTCACTCTAAGAGTGAGCGTATGTGGCTACACTGGCCGAGATAGCTGAGCAAGTGACATATGATGAGCTTATGATATGACTGGTTGAGAGCTGGATTGTACTTAGTATGGAGTGAGCGTGCGTAATAGTAAGATTTCCCACTACTTACCACAACCGAACCCTCAGAAAGGCGTACAGCGTATGAAACGACAGTATAGTCATTTAACGAGCTATATAACTTTACATGGCAGCCATTCAATAGCGTAAGCCAAGTAGTATCTATCGATAAGAGCTGCGATGGCTCCTTAAAGCGCCACCAACGTACTAAAGAACTCGACATTTGGGTGGACATAAAACCTCACATACAACCAACAGAACAGGTCTGAGCTTGGAGGCGATGTCCCTCAATTCTTCGAAGGGGATGTAGAGTACAGCATGAGTATTGTAAGCAGCTGTCCTATTTGTTGTTAATTGCATGCGAGTGGCTCGATTGTATCATTATTGTATTAAAGCTTGTCATCACAAAACCTAGAAAGATATTCTCCCGCAATGATCAAGAAGAACTATTGACAGTTGGAATCATGCTGGACTCTTAGAACTTCACCCAGCAATTGCTTTCATCTGTGGAAAGCGATGCTCTAACTTATTTTTGCTCTTTTTGGCGATATGGCTTATGAATTGACGCTTTCGTTGAGCCACTTGTAGACCACACGAGCGTCTTTCCCACTGTAGCGAGGATCACTCATGCACTCGTCGAAAGCCTTGAGCGTTGATCGATCGAGAACTGTGCGTGCACCAACAGAGGCGGCCAAATCGCTTCCCATCTTGAGTACCTTCCTGCAAAGTTCGATGCGAAAACCTCCCTCGTAGTCCCTGCTAGCCGGCGTATTGGGTTGTATGCCAGGAACTGGGTTGCTCTTCGAAGTAACCCAACACTGTCCTCCACTAGCATTGATGACATCAGTTAGAGTAGCAATGTTCAAGCCGAGTTTCGATCCAATGTTCAAAGCTTCCGAAGCTGCCAGACTAGTGATAGCTGACAAGTAGTTGTTGATGACTTTGAATGCCGTCCCGGCGCCAATATCGCCACACAGGAAGATACCACCCGGAGATCCCATCGTATTCAAGACCTGTTTTACTGTATCGAAAGTCTGATCTGGTCGATCTGTCCCAACCATGAAAGTCAATGTACCAGCCTCGGCACCCATAGGACCACCAGACACTGGAGCATCAACAAAACTGAGGTATTCATTGTCTCCCAACTCACGAGATGTATCTGAAACAGATCTCGCGACTTCTGCTATGGTATCGCTCTCGATTGTTCCACATTCCATGAGTAACTTAGGAGCCCGCGACTTCTGAAATGCAACCTTTGCCCCACCTAAGATACCTGTTTGGGGATCACAGTAGACTGATTTGACAGCAGCGCTACTAGGAAGCATGGAAAGTACAATATCCTGAACGTGTAAGGAGGGCTACCCGTACTCAATTATGCGACTGAGACTTACCGAAGCATTCGCTGCCTCAAAGCCGTTTTTTACCACTTTTATCGGGCCTTCGCCGCTCATTTCTGCTTGGAAACGGGATAGGGCTGTCTCAGAGACATCGCAAATACATAGTGTCACTTCAGGGCTCATCTTTTTGCGAAGATTGACAGCCATAGGGTAGCCCATGACGCCAAGCCCTAGAGATTTTGCATTAGCAGGGGGATCTTCGCGGATTGCTCCGGATTTACCTATGAATGCTACTGATGTTCTATCGAAGGCCATATTGATGATGCGCTTAAAGAAAAGCACAAGACGTAATACTGGGAGTAGCAAATATCGATGTATAGTGTCGAGAGGGTGATATAGCAAGTCTACACCTCTCCCATTTGGGTTGACAGTTGGGGTAAAGGGCCGTGGGGGATATAATGTGGGGTCAGTACCTCGTTTGTGGGGAAAGCTGTGCTGGTGTATATAGTGTATACCTCTTGGTACTACATGCCCCACCTTACCACTGAGCAGTTGAGAAATCCAAGAACATCGCAGATTTTACACCGATGTTACGATGAGTCACGAACTCAAAGAAACGTTCGTCGCGAACTTGGGAGAATGGGAATGGGACGAATCTTGGCAATCATTCTTGGAGCTTGATCCAGAATTCTTTAGGGCTAGCGTGGGATTGAAAGCTGTCCCGAAAAAGAGCAGGCATCTTTCGCCTAAGGTCCAGGGCTTCATTGCCCTGGCTGTCAACTCTTCATCAACACACCTGTACGCGCCAGGTATCAGGACGAGTATTAAGGAGGCTTTGGCTAATGGAGCCACTGGCGCGGAAATAAAGGAAATCATCCAGCTTACATCTACGCTTGGTGTACATGCATGCAACGTTGGCGTCCCTACATTAGTAGAGGTCATGAAGGAGGAAGGGCTTTACGATAGTCACCCAACGGCAGGAAAGCCTTTGGACGCTTCGAAGCTTCAGTTGCAGAAAGACTTCACCCAGAAGCGCGGTTATTGGCATAGTTTCTGGGAAGAGTTCCTTGCACTGGATCCAGACTTCTTCGCGGCATACACCACCTTTTCCTCAGTCCCATGGCTTCCGGATGACACAAAGAACAAGAACTTAGGCGTCTTAGAACCGAAGGTAAGTCGCTCGAACCGAGCGGTCTTCTGCATTGTTCTGACCTACATAGGTCAAAGAACTAATATACTGCGCATTTGATGCCGCGGCTACACATCTGTATCGTCCGGGACTAAAAGAGCACATGAGGAATGCGCTGCGGTACGGAGCGACTGTGGAAGAAATACTCGAGGTTCTTGAAATTGCATCGCACCTCAGCATTCACACAGCTAATCTAGCTTACCCAATACTAGCCGAGGAACTCAAAAGTAAGCATTGACATTCTTTCGTGGGGAATCAGTCTTATAGCTTTCCCATACGGCAAAGTTTGGCTTGGAAGGATAGGTGGGGGTACATAGATAAACGCATTCGGCACCTTCCCCGGTGGGTCCGTTGGCGAGTTGGATCACCTTAATTACTATCATCTCATGTAAATTAAATTGAAAATAGCATTCATGTGAGATAGCTTGACGAAAGAAAATCCTTTTAATTTGGGCTCTTAGAAGCCAGTAGCAATCCGAAAATGTTAAGCAAAACACGTTTCGACACTCTCCATAAGAAACTCTTCGAGGAAGCGCTGAAAGTACGCCGTGCCGTAGCCAGCGATTGAATAAGTTAACTTCATATGGAATGCTGAATTAGACCGTCTCATTCATTCTCCCATTTTATATATACCCAGGAAAGAAGCAATGCGGGTTTCTCTCCATCCACGATCCGTCATGCGCCACAACTACCTCAACTTTAGTATTTTGCCTCCACAGCTCAGACGACTCGCCCAGACACTCTTTGATCTGAGCAATTGTCCGTCTCGCAGTATCCGTATCCATATGCACGCTTCTCAGCTGACCATGTCCATCATCATAAAGCGCAATATCTTTGGTCCCTTCCAAAATGCGGATATCATGACAGCAGTCACCGCCGAGATAAATATAACGGTCCTTATCAATACGAAGCAAGGCATTGATGTGTCCTCGCAGGTGACCCGGGCTATCAACTATCAAAACGCTTCCGTCACCAAAGAAGTCGACGACAGCTGGGAATCCAAATCCTGGCTTCCACTTATGACTTGTTTGAAGCTCCTTTCGTGCGTAGATCGCATCTGCCTCGTAGACGTACGGCAGTTCCTTGGTCCGCGACTCGTCCAGCATCTTTGAGTCGAAAATCTCCGCGGGATAATGAGGCGGAGCGCCCCGGGCAAGCAGATGAAGCGTCCCTGATCCTACTATAAACGTCGAATTCGGAAAATCGCTTGGAGTTCCGACATGATCCCAATGTACGTGGCTGTACATGACGATGTCAATATCTTTAGTAGGGTCAAGCCCTCCATTTCGCAGACACTGTGCGACATCTGGCTGGGTCAACATGGGCTGGCGATTGGCAATATGATGGTGCATAGCAGGCTCGTAGGCGGCCAAGTCCCGTTTGAGACCTAGATCCCACACTATTCGGGTTATCTTGCCGTCGTGTGTCGGATCGCACCTTTCGACTAGGAAACACATTGACGGTACCAACGTTCGTTTAGATTTATCAGCGTCGGTCACAAAGAGTTTCTCGGGAAGGGTAAGATGGCCACCCGTTAGAGCGGAAACCCTAACACATACTGGAGATTGACTGGTTGGTTGCGACATAACTATCATCGGTATATTCAATCCTGGTGCGGCATTTTGGATTATGTGTTCCTTTGCTTAGACGAAATTAATTGCAGGGTGGGGTTGTTGGTACGGATATGTATGTGGGGTCACCCTATGGTCATTGATTACTTAGCAAATAGTTCGACTATTACCCCGAATCTTCATGTGGGGTCACCCTACGCTCTGCTAGTAGTACTCGAGTATCCAGTTTCTGGAAATGGAAATTTCGGTGTTACTCTGCAACAAGAGAGGTAAAGCATAGACTTGAAAAAAATTAGGATAAGATAAACAGTTGGAGACCGCATGAGAACCAGCAAAGGGTTAGAAATACAAAAGATACAAATCCTAATCGTGGCTCTATACCACTTCGTGAAAGTAAGAGTCATCCCCCAGACTTATTACTTTTCCGTTCTTCCACTGCCCTGAAACTAGAGGTGGTCTCCCAGGCTTGCCATCACGAGGAAGCTCATTCAAAAACGCCCATCTCGTGCGCTCCTTGTAGCCCTGTATCTTCCAATCATTGACATCTTTTTCGGGAGACGTGGTCAGCAGAGGAAAGATATCAAACAGCGTATTGTCATGAGCTAGGCAAATCAATATGTCAGGGTTTGCGTCAAAGGCACGCAGATGATCTATGCTTTCTTGCGACTGTTGCGTGTCTGTGTAGGCAGATGTTTCGCTCCGTGTGACCTTGTAAAATGGACTACGTCTTGCATCATCGTCTTCTACCGTACCTTGTTCATTCCTCGTTGTAGAAGGGTGACAAGCTGTGAAAAAGGAACATGGACATGGTGCAGGGAGGGTGGAGTCCAGTTGCGCTTGCGGGATTATATCTGGGAGTGGGACAGCTGAAGATGGGCGGAAGGCTCCTACAAAATGACAGCAGTCGCCCCCCATGAATACGAATGTATTCGGTGTCGTTCGAGCAAGACCGCATACGTGTCCGATTGTGTGCTAAGAAATCAGCAGATGTGCCAAATGAAAATGTCGTAATATACTTACGCCAGGAACGTCTAGAATGTAGAAAGAGCCGTCTCCAAAATAGTCGTGAGCTCGGAATTTGCCAATGCACAAATCATCTTTGAAAGTTATTTCATCGATAAAGTGCCCGCTGTTACTTGCGTAAGCATTATCGAAACGGGAGTTGACGAAGGGCAAGCTTACGATGTGTCGCTCGACAACATGAACGCGTTAGGGTTGTCTGGGTATCCAGGTAAAAAGTTACCCTTAAATCCTAGTCCTACAACAATGTCGGTAAGTGGTGGGAATTTGGAAGCATCTCCGATATGATCCCAATGCCAGTGACTCCACACAATAGCATCTTTATTGTCATTCAGTTAGCTGTACACAATAAATAAACGCTGTAGACAGACTGACCTAGACTCTTCAAGTCAAACCCTACCTCATTGAGTATCTCGTCAACTCCCTTTTCGACTCTGAGAGATGGCACGTATGTTCCAATCATGTTCCGAGTATGTGGTGAGGCATTCCAGAAATCTTTCCTTCCCCCGCAGTCGAACAAGATCCGCCGTGATTTCGATTCATTCTCAATCAAGAAACACATGGTCTTGAAATTCAGTCTTTCGTGGCCTTTTATGACCGGTCGTACGAAAGCGGAAGCGTCACACACCATAGTGGTCGTCGTATCGATTGCACGAACACGAACAGTTGAATTAGAATCTGGGATGGTAATCGGGTAATCCATTTTTGTGCGATTGACTGAGGCAATTCCGAAGTCAAATGAAGGCAAGGTAATTGTAGAGATGCGGACGTTGGCACTGTACCTTTTAGTTCTCCGTCATTCATGATAGCCAAGAATCGCTCGGAACGGATCCCGGGACATATTGTGGGGAAGATATGTGGGGTCGTACAAATAAACTGCGTTTTTGGGCCAATTAGGGCATCTATCAAGCCTTGCCGTGAGTCTACTTCGCATGTCTTCACCCGAGACGCCGCCATTTACTTATATGCTGAATACTAGCGGTGATGGCGGAAGAGGCTCCCAGCGAGGCTTCTTGGCGTTCAAAAGAAGCAGATGTACCGTTACCTATCCTTTGATCTGGGCCTCTTTGCCCACACGCGTGATCGTGCAAGATCAAATCCTCGAGACAATTGGATAAGCGTGCTAATAAACGGCGCTGTGTGGTAAACAAGTCTTATTACATTTTGACATGCCAACTTGCCTCAAACAGAAATACGATAATGATTTGCGACAATCTAACAATTGCTACAACGTACACGAGATTAGGTCAGAGGTTTTCCACCGTTGCCTTTTTGGTTCATGTCCACAACGAGTTTCCCGCCCATTCCAGTACGGTGTTGATTGACAAGGTCATTCAAATCCTCTAGAGCATATAGTGTCGTGACAGCCTCAATTTTGTTCTTGGCAGCGAAATCAAGCATTTGCCTCAGCTGATGGTTTCGTCCCACCAAGCTTCCGATGACCTTGATGTCTCGAAATACCAGGTCTTTGGCACTGAATCTTAGCTCACCAGGGAAGCTCACTACCACCATAGTACCGTGGTTTCTCAGTAGCTGCATGCCATAATCAAATGCTGCCTGAGACTCTGGTAGAAACACTACTGCTTCCACTCCACCATCCATAACATCTTGTACCACGTACTTTGCGTCATGTACAAGAGAGTCCACTAGCAGTGTACTCCCCGGAGTCGAAGGGCCCATCTGATCAACCACGGTTTTTAACAGCTTCAGAGGCCTATCGCCTCTGTCTACAGCGACTGTCCGCTTTCCAAGATGAGCCGCAAACTGAACACCAAGATGACCAAGTCCACCACCCGCACCAATTATCGCGATGGTACTGGCCTCTTTAACACGCTCAAGCGCGGACCATATAGTTAGTCCGGCGCACATAAGAGGTGCTGCCTCTAAAGCCGTCATACCCTCCGGAATAGGTGCGACTTGCCGACTGTCAACTAAAGCGTACTCGCAGAATCCGCCGTCCATTGTGAGCCCAAGGTTTTTCGCTTTGAGGCAATATGGCGAGTAACCCTCAGGGTCGCCATGATCCAGTATGCATTCATTGCAGGTTCCGCATGGATGATACGCTCGGCCAGGAACTCCAACTTCGTCGCCAATTGCAATATTGAGATCTTTCGAAACATCTGAACCTGCGGCTACGACACGACCTGCAAATTCGTGGCATCCAATCCGTGGCAAATCTTGAGACATCTTGCCTTCAACCAATACTGCATCTGTGTGACAGTAAGAAGCGGCTAAGACTTTAATCAGTAGGTCATGGCCGGTTGGTTTTCCCGGGGTCGGGGTTTCTCGGAATTGATACGGCTTTTGGAATTCCTCAATCACCGCCGCTCGCATTGTAGAAGGGATACTGTGCAGCGGTGCCATGTTACTTGATCGGTGGCTGTCGAGCAATAACACTGCAGTATATGTTAACGTCGTTCTGATATGACCGGATTCGTCAGCTTGTAGATGGTCGAATCCCCACACTGCCCCACAATGCTTGTTACGTAGCACATCTGGTCTTCCCCACTTACTCCGATGGGCCTCTTCTTTCCACCACAATTGCACCTACTCACGGAGTTCCACAAACGCTTAAAATCACGACGTGTTTGAATTGAAATTTCCAATTCGGCCGAGGTTTTGCAACCCATACCGTCGTGTCCAGCTAATGGGACTCAATGCGCACGAGAAGAGTTCGCGTCGCACTTGTGGAAACTGAGTAGAACACTCATCGTGAACAATTTTTATTGCCTAGAATAAACCTCGCTCGGGGTTTGCGACTGCTTATGAAGTAGAGCAAAGCAGCGTTTGGTACACTTCTCATCGCTCCTAGCGGGAAGTCCATTCCTTGCCTCAATAGTGTTGCTAAACCTCGGCGCCAACTGGATATGCATACCAAGGCAGGGTGACATTTGATACCAACATTCGATGCCACTATTCAATGCCTGGACATTTGATTTTGTGCACAAAAGCCATGTCTCATTTCCAGAAGTATCTCAAGGATATGGCTCTGCAGAGAAAAGTCCCTATATCTGCTTTGTCCAAATGGCCTAGCCTGGGAATGAGACTTCCAGAGTCCAGCTCGGCTTTCCAGGTTGCAGTGAATTGGGTATTATTAATAGCGCTGCTCAATGAAAGCGTCAAGCTAGGATGTTTGCGCACATATCATGGTTTAATGGCGACGAAATATGTGTTTCACTCTCGCAAAGGCTACCCATCTCTCGCAATACGGTAGCGATTCGCGAAGTGATCCCCCAAACCCATGTATCGTCGTAGTAGGGGGCATAGTATTTTCTGATACCAGCAGCTAAAGAGATTGTCCCAGCTTCAATTATGCCAAGCTTGAGACAAAGGTTACGCATGTGATTTAGGAGCAAGGCTTTCGACTGCTCCAACTCGATACGCTTTTTGGCAAGCATTTCCATCAATACACCCATTGCATGAGAAAGAGACCTAATATTTAAATTAGAACAGTATGCAGTATGGAACGTACCAATGACGAGACTCACAGCTGTTCCCGGAAAGAATGGCAATTTCGATGCTTCAAGTCAAAGCAGCTGTCTTTTGGATAAATAATTTACCACCAACCGTGCATGGTAACACCAACCACTCCAATATTTGACTGATAGCCTTGAACACGATTGCGTTCCGCTGTGGAGGGGTGGAGATGAAGTTATGCAGTGCTTGGGTGATGACTGGTGGGCTGGTTTGTAATAACTAGTGCCACGCCCAGAATTTCAACGTCCGCAACTGCTCGAAGATGACATAGACGCAGAATCGAGCAGCAGTTGAATAACAACGGGCCCTCAGAATCCGTCCAAAGAACACACTGCGCACATCGCGCTCTCAAAATATGCTCGTGACACCTACTCAGTGCTTCCGCGGTTTGGTCCAGGATCAAAGACTTCAGGTCTTGAGTCTGCCCAAATGGTGGCGAAGCACTGATGGGCAGTAATATTTGCGATTTATGCCACAGGTGGATAGAAATACCATGCATGATCACCACCGCAGCAAAAGGAGACCAGAATATGTGTGGTCCATTCTTCCAAAGATCATTTGGAGCGCCACCCATCAACTGCGTCACACCAACTTTGAGGCTTACCTGCCTGGTATACAACGAGAGTGAAATCCTTTCCTTCCAAAGCTCTTCGGTTGGCGCATTCCAGAGGTTGTCATGACATGGTAACTCGATATCGTCATCCTGGAAGGCTGAAAGAGCAGGCGTAGCTCCATTATCATTATCATTATCATTCCATTATAGTCCTGTATCAGCCGTTGGCTATGTAAGACTTTGGCCAAAGGCCGTTCTATCTGACTAGTTACAATTTGGTACGTTGTGCTGTATTGCGTGACTATGGTGCTTCGGCCTTTGTCTAGTTAAGCTAGTGC